AGCTTGCATACACTCACAGGAAGGCTGAAGCTTTGATGCCAAAGCATCAGGCAGGAAATGAGGCCCATGCCAGAGTACACGAATGAATTCAGACATCTGAGAATTATTTTGCATTGAGAGGAGGTAGCCTTGGCAGAGACTTTACGGTTTAAGTTCAGTGGCAAATTCTAAGACCACCTAGCAGTCACCATGCACCTGAGGATCTGACAGGTCTGATTGGCATACTAATCCAGTTGGAAAGTAAACTAAAATATAAAAGGAGGTAGAGTGTTGGACCCCAAAGATCTATTGGGGGGGTGAAAAATAAACAAATCTCTGTAGCTGGGTATCACCCAGCATGGGCAGGCATCCTCATGTTGGCAATACAGGATATGGTATGACCTTGGCTTTCGGCATCGAACCCCATATCATCTGGCCTGTCAGTGCTGTCGGTCATAGGTTCAGGATCTCTAGGACCTCTAGAGATGCTGCAGAGAAAAGGGAAGTAGCCACTAGGGGTCAGCCTGGGGCTTCAGATACGCAGGGCTTAGCCGTACTAAGCCTACCCAGACCCAAGGTTTCAAGGTGGAGGTTGGGCTTTTGGTCCATTGAAATGGAAAACCCAGACACTACTAGTCTGGGGCTAGGCTTTTCCCCAGGCACTGAAAGTTGGAAGGTGCTGACTTCACTTATTCTCTTACTCCTTTAGAAACAAATGAGCTTAGCAAGAATAATTTCTGAAAACAGGAAACTGCAATAGCAAATGGTTGGCTTCTTTCATTTGCCACCCTTCCACTTCCTCTCCCCCACTAGCAACTCTATTCCAGTTACTCTTGTCCGTGGTCTGATTCCTCTCTGCCAGGGCTTCTTGCCCAGGGATAGTCTCTTGGCATCCCTGGATCTCTCTCACCCTCCATGGGGTATCATGGCATCTTATGTTCTAAAGTTTAATGTCTCTCTTCAAATTCTTCTCAACTGAGCTTGCTGTAGAATGTTGTGAGATGTGTTCTGTGGGTGCTAGAATTGCTTGTTATGATTGTGACAGGCAATGCTACCTTTTAACTGGATGGAAGCCTGGGAAGAAGAAATAAAGAACCCTGGAAAGAGCATTAACTCTGGAATCAGAGTCTGGATTCAAATCCTTCTTCTGATGTTTACCATCTGGGTGCCTGGGGGAAATGACTTAACTGCCCTGGGCCTCAGTTTCCTCACCTGTAAAATGAGGAGGTTGGAATAGATAACTTCCGAGGTCCCTTCTGGCTCTAGATTGATGATCCTGTTGGGTCCTTCTCAAGGATGGACTAATGGGGGTGAGGCAAAGATACCCCACTTTCCAGCCCAAGTCCAAGGTCATTAGACAGGAGAGAGTCTTTGTCTAAAATGGGTGGAAAAGAGCAAAGGCCACCTTTCTAGCACTTATCAGGAGATTCAGGGAGAAAGGTAGTAAGGAGGAGACAGGATATTGGTGGATAGGACCTGAAAATTAAATGGATTAAAAAAATTAACTGAAAGGTTAAGTGATTTACTAAGGGTCACACAGACAACATGTGTCAGAGATAGGACTTGAACCCAGGTCTGGTACGTGCTACAGAATAGCACTGGATGGAGTCAGAGGGCCTGTATCTAAATCCTGCCCCGGTCACTTATTCTCTGTGTCCTTGGGCAAGTCACTGAGTTTCTCTGGGCCTCAGTTTCCTCATCTATAAAATGAGGAGATTGGATGAGATGGCTTTTATGGGCCCTTCCAGTTCTAAATCTATAATTCTATAACTCCAAAACCTGTTCTCTATCCATTACGTCTCACTTCGAGGTATTCTGACCTAAATACGCCAAAAAAAGAGAGACTCTTCTTTCTAGTAGTTGTCATCTGTTTGTTGACCTATTAACATGACCTCTCAGATTCCCTAAGGAGCACAGCTTCATCAAAACTCCAGGCTTCCAAGATACCGTTGTTGTTATTAAGTGATTTTTCAGTTGTGTCCGACTCTCTGTAACCCCATTTGGGGCTTTCTTGGCAAAGATACTATAGTGGTTTGCCATTTCCTTCTTATTTGACAGATGAGGAAACTGAGGCAAACAGGGTCAAGTGACTTGTCCAGGGTCACACAGCTAGAAAGTGTGAAAGTTCAGATTTGAATTCAGGAAGAGGAATCTTCCTGACTCAGGCCACTCTATCGATTGCACCAACCAGCTGCTCCAGGACATCGCTAAAAATCATCAAAGACGGTGATCCCTTCACTGATTTGAATGTCTATCTTGCCCATCAGGAAGTTCCTCCTAAGCCTAACTAAATCTCTTCTGTGATCATTAAACACAGTTCCCTCTTGTGCCCGCCATCGGTGGTGATGGAAGAACAGCTGCTCACCATCCTCTGTTTAATAATCCTTAATGGGTCTACAAACAGTTATTAAGTCACTCTTCAGTTTTCTCTTAATCTTATTTTATTTAAATGGAGGCTGAGAGCTTCAGAGCAAAGCATTTCAGTCACAAGCACACAGACAGAGAACTAGCAGGACGTCCAACTGGGTGACCAGCCATTTTGGCTGTCCAATCGCTCACTCCAACCTAGACAAATGAGTCAGTTTGCTTTCTTTTGCAAACTTTTAATGGATTGGAGGGAAGTTTCCTGGCTCTCACCTGAATTAAATAAACCACTCCTGACCTGGGTCAGAGAGTGAAGGAATGAGTCTATCAGTCAATTGATCAATCAATCAATCAATCAATCAAAAAAGCATTTATCAAGCAACTAGTTCGTGTCAGGCACTGTCAATACAAAGACAAACATGAAACAGCCCCTGCCTTCAAGGAGTTTACATTCTAGTGGGAGAAACATGTACATGCACAGAAAGATTTTAAAAGTATTCCACTCTGATCCAACCATTTTGGAAAGCAATTTGAACTATGCCCAAAGGGCTATAAAAATGAGCATACCATTTGACCCAGCAATAGCTCTTCTAGGACTGTATCCTAAAGAGATCATACAAATGGGAAAAGGACCCACATGTACAAAAATATTTATAGCAGCTCTTTCTGTGGTAGCAAATAATTGGAAATTGAGGGGATGCCCATTAATTGGGGAATGGCTGAACAAGTTGTGGTGTATGAATGTAATGGAATACTGTTGTGCTCTAAGAAATGATGAGCAGGTGGACTTCAGAAAAACCTGGAAAGAATTGTATGGACTGATGCTGAGTGAAATGAGCAGAACCAGGAGAACATTGTACACAGTTAACAGCCACGTTGTACGATGACTAACTTTGATAGACTGAGCTCTATCAAAAGCTTTATCAATGCAAGGATCTAAGACATCTCCAAACGACTCATGATGGAAAATGCTATCTATATCCAGAGAAAGATCTATGGAGTTTGCATGCAGATCGAAGCATACTATTTGCTCTTTTTTTCCTTCTGTTTCATTTTGTTTCTTCTTTCTCGTGGTTCCTCCTATTGGTGAAAATATGTTTAATAGGAGTGTATATGTAGAGCTATATCAGATTGCATATCATCTTGGGGAGGGAGGAGGGAGGGGAGAAAATTTAAAACTCAAAAGCTTATGGAAGTGAATATTGAAAACTAAAAATAAATTAATTAATTTTAAAAAAGCATTTCACTTTAATGGAGACAAATACTGTCACTACATTTGCACAGAGAAAAGTCAAGATCCATTCTCCGATTTCAGGCAGGCAGATCAGAGTTTCTGGTGATGTTACCCTGACTGAGGGTAACAGGAGGGGCTGTGGATGTTATAGGGTTGAACTGGTTCCCTCAGTTAGTTATCTGTCTCTAACTGTGGATAATGGGGGTTAGGAGGAGAGAGAGAAGGGGGGCACACTCAGGGCTTAGGTGAGGCCTCAGCTGACTGCACATTTTCAAGCTTCCTCTCCCTTTCATTCTATGCTGTTTATTTTAGGTTCATCACTCGGATTGACAGGTGAAAGTCTGTGTTAGCTGGCTGAGGTAGGTTTCATACTGTGCCTTGAGTCAGCGCTCCAATGTTCCCAATGAAACAAAGAGTTGCAGAGGAAAAGCACAGATGGGCTAGATGAAATTTGGTGAGGTTTAAAAACCCTTGTTGCTGTTGTTGTTAAGTATAAAGAGGGGTACATGACATTCCATCTCCTGCTCCATCCTTTGCCCAGGCTATCCCCACCCCCGCCCCGCCCTACATCAGACCTGAAAGGCATTCCCTCTTCACCTCTTAGAATCCCTATTCTCCATCAAAGTACAGCTCAGACACTCCTAAAGGAGGCCTTTCTCTATTCCCCAGAATGGTTAGTGAGTTCTATGTTTTGAAATTATTTTGAGTATAATTTTTATTTGCTTAGTGTACCTATGTCCCCTAATAAGCTCCTTGGAGGCAGGGACTGTTTTATTTTTGTCCCTTATATTCCCAGTGCCTAACACAGTACCTTCCTTTACATGTAATCAGTTGTTGTTGTTTGGTTGTGTCCAACTCTTTGTGACCTCATTTGGGGTTTTCTTGGCAAAGATACTGGAGTGGTTTGTCATTTCCTTCTCCGGCTCATTTTACAGATGAGGAAACTGAGGCAAACTGGGTTAAGTCATTTGCTCAGGGTCATACAGCTAGTAAGTGTCTGAGGCCAGATTTGAACCCAGGAAGAGTTTTCCTGACTCTAGGCCTGGTACTCTATTCACTGTACCACCTAGCTGCCCATTGCGCATACTGCTACTACTACTACTACTACCACCACCACTACTACTACTACTACTACTACTACTACTACTACTACTACTACTGCTTACTACTAGCTAACATTTATATAGAGCTTATAATGTGCCAGGCACTATGCTAAACATTTTACAAATATTATCTCATTTGATCCTGGGAGGTAAGTGCTATTATTATCCCATTTTACAGATGAAACTGAGGCAAATAGAGGTTAAGTGACTTGCCCAGGGATGCAACAGCTGGTAAATATCTAAAGCTGGATTTGAATTCGGGTCTTCCTGATACCAAATCTAGTGCTCTATCCACTACTCCACTTATCTATCTGCCCTATTGCTTAACAAATGTTTGTTAAACTGAGTTGGACTTTCTACAGAGTTATCTCATGATCTACACAGACACATATCTATTTGTTTTAGGAGTAGGGAAAACATCTTGTTGAAGACCCCTAGACACTCTATCTCACCTCTCTTTCTCCTTTAGCCAAGGTTTTAGGATAAGGATCTATCCCTCTGAGCAAGATCAGTTTCCTATTCTGCAAGTCCTAAATACCATGGTGATTTTTCCCACCCCTCAGCTGGAACACATGGTCCAACAAAGTATATTCCTTTTGCAAAGTTTCATTAAATACACTGGCTTTTGTTGTTGTTTTGGGGTTTTTTGGGACATTGGAGGCTATCTCAGAAAATCTGAGATGCTTGGTTACCATAGCCACAAACACCACGATGTAACTTACTTCCCAGTGGTTTTCACTGGAGAATGGGGGTATATTTTGGGGGAAGCCCTGCCTAGGAGGACTGGGGAAGACCCCTGTCTCATTATTCCTTCTCTGGATTTCTGAACTCTAGAGGTACCTAGGCTTTGTGATGATTCCATCTTCCCTTCATCACTCTTGAGTCCCACACTGATGTCATCAGCTTCCATTTTCCCAGTCTTTCCATCTGTTTCCTTGTTGGTCCCTTCCAGGGGGTTCATCCCTTCACCTCCATTTGCCACAGTCCAAACAGCTCCTTGTTCACTCAAGTCTTTCTCTCCTGACCAAATTTGGAGTGATGGGTTTTTCCACCTTCTGGCACCAGATTTTGAGTTGAATTCATATATTTTGCCAGTAACTAGAAGAAAAAGAGAGCAACAGTTAGGCCTATTTCTTCTCAAAAGAAGCAAAGCAGAAGCTCTGAATGACTGAATGATATAAAACAGCCTTGCAGATAAGCAGGGGCCATTTACTGGCCCATAAAAGTCTAGTTAACCTGTCCCTTCCAAAGATTACACAACTTAGACAGCACAGGCAGTAAAAGCAATGAAATGAATAGCCTATGATTCAGTCACTGGCTGTGTGAACAGTTCAGTTTGTGAACTGATTTTGAGCGGAGGTTCTTAACCTTTTTTTGTGTCAAGGACCCCCTTTGGCAGTTTGACAAAGTCTATGGTCACCTTCTCATCTTATTTTTTTTTAGACTTTTTTAAAATTAATTTACTATGAATTATCAACAATCACTTCCATAAGCTTTTGAGTTTTAAATTTTTCTCTCCCTTCCCTCCCCACCTCCCTCCCCAAGATGACACGAATCTGATATAGGCCATACATATACATTCCTATTAAACATTTTCACATTAGTGATGTTGTAAGTAAGAATTAGAACCAATAGGAGGAACCACCAGAAAGAGGAAACAAAAGTCAACAGAAGAAAAAAATAGCAAATAGTATGCTTCGATCTACATTCAAACTCCATAGTTCTTTCTTTGGATGTGGATAGCATTTTCCATCAGGCCTTTGGAGACGTCTTATCATCTTACTGTTTTTAAATGCGTAAAACAAAAGACACAGGATTACAAAGGAAACCAACAGTGAAAAAATAGAGACATAATTTTTTTCTCCATCCAAGTTCACAGATTCTCTATAAAGGGAGTACTGGTAAATATTTAACAACCAGCTCTCCAAAAATGCATGACCCTTTTAAATTTCATGTTATTAACATTTTCTCCATTACCTTCTTAAAAAATAAGTCAAGCCCTAATTGATACCATTTGCCAATTTCCAAGGTGTAAAGGTTCACATGGAAAATTTAACACACAGTTCTTCTGAGCCAGTCTGACCCAGCTCCAGCCCACTCACCCCTGGCCCCTACAGTTTATCCCTAGACCCCTTGGGGATCCATGGACCCCAAGTGAAAACTCCTTATTCCATGCCATTTTGATTACACAGTGAAAAGAGTGTTTGAAATCTTGAATTTAATATGGACTTGGGATAATTCAGATTCCATTTTTAGTGGGAACCCTATTATTTCCCAGTTTGTTTGTGTTTTTAAAGAGAGAGAGTCTTCATCACTAGTGTAAAGAAGGCACCAAGAAAATAAATTGTTATATGTGTGTGTATACATGTCAGTGAGGGCAGAGGACTGTGTCTGGAGTCAGCAAGACTCATCTTCCTGATTTCAAATCCGGACTCAGACGCTTACTAGCTGTGTGACCCTGGGCAAGTCACTTAATCCTGTTTGCCTCAGTTTCCTCATCTGTAAAATGAACTGGAGAAGAAAATGACAAACCACTGCAGTATCTTTGCCAAGAAAACCCCAAATGGGATCGTGAAGAGTCTGACACGATTGGAAAATGACTGAAGGACAACTACAGTATATCTATGGGACCGTGATCATAAATTTAGAGATAGAAGGGGCCTTAAAGGCCATATAGACCAACTCTCTCTCATTTCACAGATGAGGAAACTGAGAATCAGAGAAGCCTTGCCTAAGGACACCTGGGAAGTAAATGACTGAGGCAGGATTTAAGTGCAGGTCCCCTGACTCTAAAAAGCACGGGGCGGGTTGTGTGTGTGTGTGTGTGTGTGTGTGTGTGTGTGTGTGTGTGTGTGTATGTGTGTGTGAGCATTGCACAAAAAGTTCTACACCCAGGTGAAAAGATGTGATACAAGTTAAGATCTTATTTCCAAGGTACGATACAGGAGCACTTCTTTTGGTGCCAGGAGAACAGGTTTGAATTCTGTCGTCTCTGTCTGTCGCCACTGGGCAAGTCACATCCTCTGAACCTTGGGTTCTTGGAAGCTAGACTACATGACCTCTCTAAACCCTAAAGTCATAGGACTGGCATTCTCATAATGTTCCCCCTTCCCCCAAGGTTTGTCTGCTCTTGGTATTCCAGCTGGCTCCCAGATTTCATTCTTTATCATAGATACATCTACACACGGGGCACCTCTGTCTCCAGCCTGAATGTGTCTATTTCCTGGACCACGGATCTCTCTAGGGATACGGTAGGGTCAGGGGAGACTCTGCTGGTGTCATTTCCCTGAAACCTCCAAGGCTGTCTGCTCTGGATTCCTCCAGCACTTATGCTAATATGGGCACATTATGGTAACAAGTACCTAATAATAGAGGGAAATTTAATTCCAACTGCAGCCTCTTGCTGGAGAGGAGCCATTCTCCTTCAGAGAAGGACTGAAGCATTTTGCATATGAAGGTGGCCAGGAGCCAAGACACTTGCCTCCTGAATTTGGTTTCCTTCCCTTTATTCCCATCTATAATTGAGCCTTTGTAAGTGGCAGGAATGTGTGTAAAGGAGCTAAATCTGGTGGCTGACTTCAGGGAGGTTATGTGAGCTCAGGGAGACTGGCTTTACCTTTCATTTATCTTTCCTATCCAAAGAAATTCTGGGCTGTGCTATCTGGAAACCCTCATACACTGACCGCTGCATTTTACCTATACCTCCACCATCTACCCAATGGGAAAAATGGAGTCATTCTGTAACCATGTGGGGAAAAAAATGTGTTCTCGGGGACACCATCCTCAGTAGGTGGCTTATTTCTTGGGAGAAGAAGGGAGAAAAAAAATAAGGTTTTTGTTTTTTTTTTTTTACTTTATCAATCAAACAAGCAAGCATTTATGAAGTTCCTACTATGTGCGAAGTACTGCTTTTAGGTAAAGACAAAAAGAAACAGTCCCCAGCTTCAAGGACCTCACCTTCTATTGGCTGAGCTTACCTGAAAACTAGCCAAGACGTTGGGTAGCTGAGTATTTATAGGCAAGTTACTTCTTTAACCTGAGTCTAAATTTCCTCATCAGCAAAATGGCAGTGGTATGAGGCCATGCGGTAGGCTGAGGGTTGGAATAAGTGATTGCTAAGGTTCTGTCTGGACCAGGAGTGGGGAACCTGCAGCCTCGAGGCCGTGCAGCCCTCTAGGTCCTTAAGTGTGGCCCTGAATCAGATTCAGTCAAAGGGCCGCACTTGAGGACCTAGAGGGCTGCATGTGGCCTCGAGGCCGCAGGTTCCCTACCCCTGGTCTGGACTATTGCAATAGCCTTCAGATTGGCCTTCTTGTGGCCAGCCTTTTCTCCTCTCCTATTGATTATTCAACGGCCAAGATTAATATTCCTAAAACAGTTGTTTTTTTTTTTTTCCAGTAACTCTCTATTGCCCCTAGGGGGAAAACAGACTTCTCAACCTGACATTTAAAGTCATACACAATCTGTCTTACCACCTCTCTTTCCAGACTTATTACTGCCCTTCATCTAGTCTACATTCCAGCCAAAATAACCTGCTAGCGGCTCCCCTGAATCACATGTGCAGGCCTCCCATTTCTCTGCCTTTCCTTCAAGTTTAGCTCAATAACCTAAGTACCACTTCCTGGATGAAGCCTTTCCAGATTCCCCTAGTTTTTAAGTACTCTTTTCATCCTACAATTCCTCTGAATCTAGCTCCCGGAGGACAGGGATGATTCCATTTTTGTCTTTATCTCAAGTACCTCAAAACAGTGAACATAATAAGCACTTAATAAATGTTGAATTGAATTTCAAGTTCTAAATCCTATAATCTTATGGAGACGCCATCATCACCCTAGTATTGGACCTGTGTGGGCATGGAATGCCTTGGAAAATTTTACACAAGATGTTACAAAAGTGTTAGAACAGTTTTAAGCTTTAATAGCTTAAGTTATTAAAATAGCTTTTAAAATTAAAATACATTAATAAATTAAGTAAATAAATAAAGAACAATTAAAAATAACTTTAGCTATTAGCTTTAAACTGAACTAAGACTTTTGGGACACCACATATACCTTATCATATCCTGACCTGCAGTACCTTTGAGAGAGAGAGAGAGAGAGAGAAAGTATTTATATAGTACCTACTATGTGCCAGGCAATGTGCTAAGTGCTTTACAAATATTTGATCCCCTTGATCAATTTGAATATTCCATTTGATGCTACCTATGAGGTAGGTGCTGTTATCATCCCTGTTTTAAAGCTGAGAAAATGGAGACAAACAGAGAGTATGGGACTTGCCCAGGGTCACAGAGTTAGGGAGCTGCTGAGATCGGATTCAAATTCAAGTCTACCTAACTTCAAGTCTAGAAGTCTAATCACTGGGTCACCTAGATGGCTTTCAAATGAGACATAACTTGCCAAATCCTTAAAGTACTTTGCAAATGTTGGCTATTATTATAATAATGTATTAAGGCTTACAAAGTGTTTTTCTCATCATTATCCTATGAAGTATTATTAGTAGTAGTATAATTATTAGTATTATTATTTCCCATTTTACAGATGAGAAAACTGAGGCCCAGAGAAATAAAGTCACTTGCCCAGCACCAAACAGGGAGCAAGTGTTGAATCTGAGATTTGAACTCAGGTCTTATGACTCTAAGTTCAATGTGCTATAGGCCATACTGCCCTGTATTTTACAAATCAGCCAAGTGGGGCCCACATGGAAAATCAAATATTCTCTTTGAAAACAGCAGGTCAGGAACAACAAACAATGTGGGGGGAAAATGGAGGCTTGCTGTGCTTCCACCTCATTGATCAATAATGGTACTATCTCCTTTTAAAATGGTATTTTCCATTTATATTACCTGGGTCTAGGGCTTCTCCATCGAAGACAGTGTTAATCTTGGTCATTTCCTAAGGAGACAGAGAGCCACAAGGTGAAACAAAGCCAGGCGCTGACCCAAGAGAAGGCTGTCATTACTTTGAGAAATTCAAACCTGGGTGAGTTTGGCAGCCAAACCACATGGTACCTCCGCCTGCTGAATGCTCAGCGACTGGGCTCCATCAGGAAAAAGCCACAGAGACTTCTGTGGGCCTGCCCAATGCTCAGTCGAGAAGCAATCACGTCTGACAGACTAAGTGACTTCGAATAGGCAATCACAGAGGGTCACCTCCTCTGGGCAAAGGGCCTAGGAGCTCCCTGTAGGGAGGGGGGTAGAATCAGAACAGAGGAGGGGTGCCTGATAGACTACAAGGGAAGAAAAGCAGTTCTTAGACATCTGATGCCAAGCAGCGCTGTGCTTGAAGAATAATTAGCCTATTTGAGTTGGAAGGAACATTGAAAGCATCTAGTTCAGTTCACCCCCACTACCTTTTTTTTTTTTAAACACGCTGAGGCCCAGAGATGTTAAGTGACTTCCCCAACATTACACAGCTATCAAGTTCTCCTGACAAAGAATTCAATGGACTTTCTATCCCATTTAATACCACTTAAACCAATACCGACAATCTTCTCCAGGGGCCCCGGCCTGTGGCGCGTGCCACCCTCCATGCATTCCATATGGCCCCACAGCTGGCTAAGATTTAAAAAGGCCTATGCAGAAGGAAGCTCTCTAGTCCCAGCTTTTAGAGTTTGGAAAAGAAGTATTCAGATCAAGGGAGACAATAATCCTACTGTATTTTCCCCTAGTCAGACCATGCCTGGAATAATGCGTTCAGTTCTGGGCACTTTGACAAGCCAAGGCACATTCAGAGGAGGGTAACGAGGATGGTAAAGGGTTTCAAAAACAACATTAGACAGCTCCTTCAGAGCAGGGGGCTATCTTTTACCTTTCTTTGTATCCCAATCACTTAGCACAGTGCCGGGCACATAGTAGAGACTTAATAAATGTTGATTGACGGAGTGATTGACAGTGTCACATGAGGAGGGAACTGGGGAGATAGAGATAGTTGGCCTAGAGAAGACTTGGCGGAGACAAAAGAGCTGACTTCCACGTTTTGAAGAGTTTCCTGGTGAATGGGGGATTAAATTTATTCTGCTCAGGTCCAGCAGACAGAAGCAGGTTCAAGAGGTAGAAGTTAGAGACAGATTTTTGGCTCAACGTAAAGGAGAAATTCTTAATAATTAGAGCTGACCAAAAAATGAAACAGACTGCTTCATGAAGCAATGAGTTATCCATCACTGGAGTTATTCAAACAGAGGCTGAACAACCATGCTTTCAGGATATTGGAGAAGGGGTTCCGCATGGTAGGGGCTAGTGCTAGGTGCTAATTCACGCCAAAGGCCGATAATAACGACTATTTCTATAGCATTTGAAAGTTTTTGAACTGCCTTCCTTCCTACAACTTTGTGATGTAGGTAGCTCAAGTATTATTGTTGACATTTTATAGTTGGGGAAACTGAGGCACAGATAGGTGAAGTGACTTGTTGGGAGGAGAGGGTGGATGAGGAGTACACATCTAATAAATAATAGTGTGTGTAGTGGTAGTGTATAGTCGTAGTAGTGTTGGTGTTGGGTTGTTGTATCAGTTGTGTCTGACTCTTTTTGACCTTATTTGGGGTCTTCTTGGCAAAGATACTGGTGTAGTTTGCCATTTCCTTCACCAGCTCATTTTACAGATGAGGAAACTGAGGCAAACAGGGTTAAGTGACTTGCCCAAGGTTACACAGCTATTACATGTCTAAGGCCAGATTTGAACTCAGGAAGATGAATCTTCCTGACTCTAGACCTGACACTCTACCCTAAAGTACCACATAGCTGCCCAGCAGTAGTTGTATCAGGATTTGAACTCAGGTCTCCTGATTCCATGGCCTGTACTCTGGATGCCTATGCAAAAAGAGCCTGGATGGCTTATCTTCTAGAACCGGTCATGTAAGAAAGAGTTAAAGTCATATCCCATTTGTCAGTTGGTCACAGGCAATGGAGCCTTGTTGATTAAACTAATAGACTGATAGACTAATAGTTATTGGGCATTCACCAGTCAGGAGACAGCTTGATAGGGTAGAATGAGCCCTTGACTTGGAGTGTAGGGACTTGAATTCGGATCCCAACTCCTTCAGTTATGATCTGTGCAACCTTGGGCGTACCATTTAATGTCCCTGGGCCTAAATTTTTTCATCTGTAAAATGAAGGGGTAGACTTAATGACCTCCAAAGTCCGTTCTAGGTCTAAGATGATAATCCTAAGAATGCAGGACCACAGAATATTAGAGCTAGAAGGGACTTTTAGAGATCACCAATTCACCAGCTTACCATAAGGGGACCACAAAACCAAACAGGTGAAATGACTGGCCCAAGGTCACCAAGTACATGGTTGAGTTGAGACCTCCTGGAACTGGCCTTTATTCTTTCAAAAGCACTAGATAGAGAAGTCCAGCTGAAATATGGTCAGTCAGTTAGCCTTTTTTTTTTTTTAAACCTACTGTCTCTTGAAGAGAGTCTGGAAGCCCAGGGAAAGGTCCTTTGGCTACCAAAAATGCCTTCCTCCAACATCCCCTACTCCTGCACCCATGTTTCCTTACAGGTAACGTGATAGGACCCTGTTTCTCCATCCCTCAGGACCCTGATCTTTTCCTCACTGCTCCTTCCACATAGAACATGGTATAGTGGATGGAGTGTTGAGTTTAAACAGATTTGAGTTCAAAGCCTGCCTCAGACCCTGAGCAAGTCACCTAACCACTCTTAGCCTCAGTTTTCTCATCTGTAAAATGGGGATAATAGTAGCACCTATTTCACTAGGTGGTTGTGAGGATCAAATGAGATAATATACATGAAATACTTTGCAAACCTTAAAGCAATGTCCAAATGTTAGCTATCATCATCATCATTATTAATACTACCATTAGCAACGATTATGTATTTACTCCTCCTGTTCCTTGACATCACTGACTAACAGGTCCCTAGTCAGTATCCTGCCAGATCCTCAGGTTTCAGCCAGGCTGGTGTGGGTAAGTGCCCCTTTGGCCCAGGGGAGTGAGAGGGGGCCCTCCGTGTGCTGTACAATTCTTCTGCCCTTTGCTGCACACAGAGACAGCCAGGTGGGCAGCAGCTGGCTCACCCTCTGGCCAGTCTGACTGCTTAGGCATGCACACTGAGGCAGCTGCCACCCATCTGCCTCCTCAGCCTTTGCGCTGCCATTCCCCGTTTCATTTATCTCCCAGCCCTTCTTTCTCAGAGTTACTGTGACATAGCCAACCCAACCGTGAAAGACGAGCAGGGACGCGGTGGCTGTGCTTCCCCCACCCCCACGGCTTCACAGCCTTTGCAGAGATCACAAAAGCTCAGAATTGGAAGGGACCTGGGCCCCAAGCCCGTTTACAGCTTTCCTGGCAATGGTCAACCAGCCTCTGCTTGAAGATCATTAGTGAAGGGAAATGGAGTCTTTCCTGAAATAGCACATTCCACTTTGGGATAGTTCTGATTTTGGTGGGGAGAAGTATTTCCTTATATGCAGCTTAATTCTGTCTCATGACAACTGATCCCACCCCCCACCCACCACCTGCCCTTTGCTCCTAGTTCTGTTCTCTGGGGCCAAGCTGAGCATTCTAATCCCTCAGCCCTGTGACAGCCTTCAGATTCTGGAAGATACCGATTATGCCGCCCCCCTCCCCACCTCCCGCCCCCAGGCTGCTCTTCTCCAAGGTCTACATCTCAAGTTCCTTCAACTGATCTTGGCACCGCATAGCTTTCAGCATTCTCACCATCCTACCTGCCACCTATTGAGATGAATTCTAGATTGTCAATGTCTTTCCTGAAATATACTACCCAGTACGGAATACAATCTGGACAGGAAGGAGCACCCTGGGGTAACTGACTCCATTCTGAACACTATGCCTTGTCCTCACATTTTCTTTTTTTCCTACATGCAGTGAAAATCCTGTCTTGCTTGTATTTGGATACCTAGAGCTTAGCACAGTGCCTGGCATATAGTAAGCTCTTAAATGATTGCTCACTCAATCAATCCTTCCTTCCTTTCTTCCTTTGTCCCTCTATCCTCCCTCCCTCCCCTTCTTCCTTTCTTCCTTCTTTCCTTCCTTCCTCCTTCCCTCCCTGCCTCTCTTCTTCCCTCTTTCCATCCTTCCTCCTTCCCTTGCTTCCTTCCCTCCTCCCTTCCTTCCTCCCTTCCTTCCTTCTTCCCTCCTTTCCTCCCTTTATCCCTTCCTTGCTTCATCCCTCCCTCCCTTCTTTCCTTCCTTCCTTCCTTTCTCCCTCCCTTCTCCCTCCCTCCCTTCCTTCCTTCCTCCCCCCCTTCTTCCCTCCCTTCCTCCTTCCCTTCCTTCTTTCCTTGCATCCCTCCTTCCTTCCTTCCCTCCTTCCTTCCCTCCTTCCTTCCTTCCCTCCTTCCTTCCTTCCTCCCTCCTGCCCTTCCTTCCTTCCATCCCTCCTTCCTTCCTCTGCCATCTCTCCTAGACAGAGATTACTTTAGGCAAGACAGTGGAGGCCAAGATTGATTTCCACAGGCTCCCGTCTCTTCTCCTGGCCTCTCTTTGTATCAGGTCTTCAGTGTTCTCATGCAGCCTCTCAGGTTCTCGGAAGGTACTTCTCAATGGACTTGCTTTCCCTTCACTATTCCTGTGTTCATACCTACACCACGCCCTTCAAAAACTTCCATGCCCCATGCTCCTGAAGGTTCTGATTCCTCCTTTCTGAAGTAATAACCAGTCAGCTAGGTGGCAAAGTGGATAGAGTGATGAGCCGAGAGTCAGGAAGACCTGAGTTCAAATTCAGCTTCAGACGCTTGCTAGCTATGTGGTCCTGGGCAAATCATTTAACCCTGTTTGCCTCAGGTTCCTCATCTGTAAAATGAACTGGAGAAGGAAATGGCAAACCACTCCAGTATCTTTACCAAGAAAACCTCCTACAGGGTCATGAAAAATTGGACATGACTGAAACGACTGAACAACAACAAAATGTGCCAGGCACTGGGGATACAAAGAAAGACATAAAAGCAAAATAAAACAAGACAAACCCAGATCTTGCTCTCAAGGAGCCCATAGTCTGATGGGGGAGACAATGGCAGGAATATTATATTCTATAGCAAAGTGATGAGTATGTAGGTAGGGCCTTTACTGGGACCTTAGAGGGGTCAAATTTTACCAGGGAGATGACCAACTACTCTACCTGCCCTTTGAGCCAACACTGACCGTGGGCTCAGAGGGGATAGGCAGTGAACATTATTTAAATTTTAATCATTTGATGAAAAGGATAATTTTTCAATTTCTTATGTGCCTGGGAAGGTATTAAATGACTAAAGACAGTTTTCTTTTGGCATTAGCAAAGAGCCTTAAACTTTAAGTTCTTAGAGAGCAAGGGCTCCATATTTTTAATAAATTCTTTTGGATTATGATATCTAGAGGCCTAGCATATACAGGATGGTATGGAGGACTGGACTTGGAGTCAGGAAATTTAGGGTTCAAATACTATCTCTGACACATCCTACCTGTGTAACCTTAGGCAAATCACAGAACTGCTCAGTGTCCAGGTCATTTTCTGACTATAAGGTAGAGGATTTGCTGATTTGCATTGGTGGAAGGAATTCCCATACAAGGAGTTCTCCACATATATAAAATCATAGGTTCTGACAAAAAAAAATTATGTTAGGGATGGTAAAATACCTAGGACACTTAGTGATAATGCTTTGGACTTCATAAGCGTGCATTTCACCCAAAGATTTCATGGCTCCTGGATCAGAATAAATATATCCTGTTTATCATCCTAAACAAGAGGTAGGGGTCAAGACAAGATATTTCATTACTATCATATTTTAATCCCTCACTTCTCATTTGGGGAATTTAAGACAGGAAGAGATAAACATAACCTGTTTTGCTCTCCCATGATCTCTTATTCTCATAATCCTTTAAACTTTTCATTTTTAAATTTATTTTCATTTTTTTCAATGAACAAAATTGATTTTCTCTCCCTCCTACCCTTGTAAGCTTTTTAAAGTCCCTTTCATTTGCAGTCTCTCATAAGATTCCTACATCATCCCTATAAGGAAAGTGAGACAGGCATTATTGCCCTCATTTTATAGATGAGGAAAGGGACAACCAAGTGACCTATCCAAAGTCACACAACTTTTTTAGTGGCAGAGCTGTGCTTGGAACCTAAGTTTCTTGACTCAAAACTCAGCCCTTTAGCCCCACTTCTTTTGACCTCTGCCAATTTTATAGATGAGGAAACAGACCCTGAGAGGCTAAGTTCACGGCCAGAACTGGGACTAGAATTCAGGTCTCCTGACACCTAGCCTCATACCCTTCCCACCTTCCCTTTCTATAATGTTCTGGGAGAGCAGAGAAATAGAGTCTTTGGAAGTGCTGAAGTGGAGTTGTGATCTTTAAACATCATTCCCCCATCCCACTTACTCTCCTGGAGGGCTGATGGAGATAATAAACACCACTATTCAATATTTATGAAATCCAGTTCTTCTGCAAATATATCACAAGACATGTTCAGTGGAGGGAACCAATTCTATCAAGAGCTCGTCACACAGCAATCTGTTCCAGTGGCCAAGTACAAGAATCTCACTGAATAACAAACACCCCCAGAGGATAATTCGGAAAGGCTGGTTTGGGGAGAAAGGGGAGAAAACAACATCCTCTAACGGGATTCATTCAATGACTGGCCACACTTACCAGTACAACTTCTCTCTTTGCCTTCTTGGTTTCTGCAGGGAAGAAGACAGATGAAAGTCAAGTTGCCTACTCCTGCCTCCCTTTAAAACCCCACCTCCCACAGTGGGGTTCCCTTAAGCAGGCTTCCAGCTCAGTGTTGCAAACATAGCAAAGAATTTATCAGCTCATGGAAATGTTTTAGCAGCCTGCCATCCTTCCTGGAAATGAAATCCATATTTTCCCCTTATTCTGTCTGGCACACTGGCAGTACCAGTTGTGGGGGAGGGCAAGTGGGTGTTTGGGTTATTTACAAGGCTTTTTAATAGGTCAAAACTAAGAAGGATGAATCAGGTTAATGAATTCCCCAGTCATGCTGGGAACAGTGGATAAAGGGCAGGATTTGGGTCAGCAAGAACTGAGTTTGAATCCCACCTCAGATACTTGCTTATTCTGTGACTCTGGGCAAGTCGTTTCTCTGGATCTCAGTTTCCTCATCTATAAAATGATGGGGTTGGATTCCATGACCCCTAATGTCCTAAATTTATGATATTTTCCTTACCACCCACTTCAGATTTCCATCTCATGAAGCAAAGGAGACTGGAATCTTAGACCATAAAAATTCTGGGTTTAAAATGGATCTTAGAGGTTATGGAGTCCCACCTCATCATTTTATAAATTAGGAAAGTGAGGCAGAGAAAGGGCTTTGCCCACAGTCACAGAGTCAGTGAGCAGCAGAGCCAAGATTCAAAGTTGCATTTTCTGACTCCAAATTCTCATTCTCTCTCTCTCTCTCTCTCTCTCTCTCTCTCTCTCTCTCTCTCTCTCTCTCTCTCTCTCTCTCTCTCTCTCTCCTGCACCCTTTGCCCTTTGACCTGCTTTTGTGTACCCATTTTCAACAGGCCTAGTCCTCTACGTGTAGGAATCCCCTAGAAACATATGAGGAAGGGGAGAGAAGAATGCTGAGCCACAGAAAGAGAGGACTCCAATGGAGAAATTGAAAAGTTGAATAAAGAATATTGTTTTCATTTGCCTTCTTATTTACTTCTTACCTACTAACAAATCTTAAGAAGTTATTTTCCCTCAAAATTATTTTTTATTTTGAGTTATGTAAGGAAAGTAGGAGCTATCCTCCTTCAAACTTGGCCCCCAAGTACACTGTCTATGTATAACTCATCAAAAATGGATGGGAAAAGGGAAGAGAATTTGTTTTCAAGTGCGCAAGAGGCATAAAAAAGAGGGTGGGCTTCAGACTCAGAGGAGCTTGGTTCACATACCAGCTCTGTTACTTATGATCTCTGTGATGCAGGGCAAGTTTTCTAACATCTCTGGGCCTGAGTTAAAAATGAGGGGTTGAACTATATGATGAGGACGATGTGATGGTACAGTGAATGGAGTGCTAGACCTGGAGTCAGGAAGACCTGAGTTCAAATCACATTTCTAAGGTCCCTTCTAACTCTCAATTTCTGATCCTTTTTTCTTCTTTAAGGGACATCTTACCCAGCAGATTGCAGTATTGCACGCTCAATAAGTAAAGGGAACACAAGATGCTCCATAAATGTGCTATTTGTTGTTTTGATTGATTAAAGTAGGTATCTCCTTCAGGAACTTGAAAATGTCTTTCCACTCTCTACCTCCACTCTTCCTCTACTATTATTCAACAGCTCAAGGAAGTCATAAGTTGGGGCCATACTGAACATACCCTATCAAGATGGAAGCTATAAAGTCAAAATATTATCCCCATTGAATTCATCTGGAATCTTCAAGGTCATCTAATTCAACCTCCTTATTTTGTTTGTGGTTGAGTAAACCAAAGCCCATTAGAGATAACGTGACTTCCCCAAGGTCACACAGGTAATAAGTAGCAGTGCTAGGATTTGAATCCAGGTTCTTTGACTCTAAATCCAGCACTCTTTCCATTGCGCCCGGACAATTACCTTTCGATCACAGTCTTACTCAGATGAAATTTTCTTCCTTAAAAAAGTTACTTCACATTTCCAGTTATAAAAGGAGGGTAGGAGCTAGCCTCTTTCAAGTTCTGCCCCAAGTACACTGTTCAGTTAAAATACATTTCTAATTCATTACACCAGCTTTCATTACTCTGCAAGGGATTGCCTTCTAGGTGCTCAAATGAAATCCAGCAGGTGCCCTAAGCTTAACAGACACATCCAACTGAAGGAGTCCTGGCTGCTTAGCAACACTGGTTTATCTTTGTTTTGCACAAATGGTCCCCCAGGTCTGGAACGCACTCCTGCCTCCACTCAGTCTGGAAGGTAGAAATCCCTACGTCCCCTCAAAACCTAGCTCAGGTGCCACGTCCTCTGAACATCTTGCTTGACTACTCCTGTTTTTAGCCCTCTCTCGCTCTCAAAATTGATACATATTACTTTGTATTTCATTTACTCCCATGTATGTTGTATCTCCTGGTAAAATGTAAACTTTGTAAAGGTAGAGATGCTTTCATTTTTATGTCCCTAGCACCTAGCACAATCCCTTGCACATAGGAAGTAATTAATAAAGTCTTTGTTGAAAGATGATTATTATTAGTGATAACAATAATAACAGCTAACATTTATATAGCACTACTATGTGCCAAGTACTGTGCTAAGCACTTTACAGATATTATCTCATTTGATGCCCACAACTCTGAAAGCTAGGTGCTATTGTTACCCCTATTTTACAGATGAAGTACTGGGTAAAGAGAGGTTAAGTGACTTGTACAGGGTCACACAGTTAATCTGTCCCAGGCTGGATTTGAACTCAGATCTTCCTGACTCCAGATCCAGCACTCCATTCACTGTATGATCACAGCACCATCACCATCATCATCATCATCATCATCATCATCATCATCATCATCATCTTCATCATCATCTACTACTTCTTCTTCTCCTCCTCTTCCTCCTCCTCCTTTCTATTGTGACTTAAGGTTTAATAAGCACTACTCTCCCATGCTACATTCTGACTCTTGCTTTCCTCCAGATGCTGATTATGTAGTTCAATTCAATTCAATTCAGTTCAGTAAGTTCTTATTGAGCATCTCCTCAATACCAGGAGCTGTGAGAATACGCATTGCTCTTTTATCCTCCACTGAGCAGAATTCCTTCCATGTACACCCACCAAGTCCCAGAAGCCAATAGAATAGACAGCATACATACCTCCTTTTTTCACCCTATGACAAAATAAAAGATTGACATTAATTACCAGGAGACTATTGCACATCACTACACACATAACCAGACGGGCTTCTTTGGGGAGCTTCCTTCAGAAATATAATATTTCTTCCTCTGGCAATTTCATTTGATAAATGTTGCCTGTCTTATCATATTACAACTCATTTTCAGACAGATAGGCTTAGTTCAGAATTTCTTGCAGGTTTCCTTTTATTAAATAAACCATATTAGAAATGATTAGCTTTGGGAGTATGTCTTAAAATGCCCAGATTCATTTGCATATTTAACATGAGACTAGGCATTGCATGCTGGTCCTGGTCTCTTGGTAGCTCCTCCTTGCCCCTAGCCTGAAACATTTACTGTATCTAAGCCCCAGCATGGATCACTGCCATGTTTGTCGGCATAACAGCCATTTTCCTCTATTCTATCATGAAGCTAATGCTACCAGTGGAAGTAATTTCCCTAATATGGTAAGGTAATGCAAGGGACAACTCATGCCAAATCCTCATGCTTTTACTCTAGTCATTCATCCGTTGATTTCAAACCATTTGAAAAATACTAGAGAATCTTCAGAATATTTCTGTGAAACATGTGGTTATTATCATCCCATTTTTTTTTTTGTCCAGACCTATGATTTCAATGGTATGGGGGAATCTCCAATGTGAAAACTCTTTCCACTGATGCAGTTTATAAATTACTCATTTGCAATTTATAGATTGACAGAGTTGTCTGATGGGTGACTTGAGAGGGCAAAGTGACTAGCCTAAGGTCATTCAGCTACATGGGTCAGATTCAGGACTTGAACTCAAGTCTTTCCTTCCCTCTACTACCCCATAAACATATCTCATCACCATTTTCCCCATAAAAAAAAAAAAAACTAAGACATGTAAAATACCCACAAAGTTCATGTTGAATAGAACTAAGATTAAAACCCAGAACTCTAGATGCACTGGAAATCAGCACCCAAGGCTGCCATGCTGCCTTATTTTAGAACTCAGCACAGGAGGGCCAGGACAATCAGAAAGGGATTCTTCTTCTATGTGTTAAGGATCTGTGGTTTTAATAGTGTAGTAATGCACTCTGCCAACACAGGTCATCAACTTCTCTACATAATAGTGAAAAGTCTTCATAAATTGCTGTGGGCCAAAAAAAAATTCACCTGGTATCTAACCCTTTCCAAACTTAATTAAGCTAGCCCTTAGATGGTAGACATATAGTCAGTCAGCAGACAATCCTTTAAACATTCCCAGCTTGGTAGGATCCTCCTGAGCCTAAACTTTGTTGACACAACTTTTGAGAACACAGGATAAACCAGTCAATCAAGCATTTATTCCATAGCTACTATGTGCCAGTCACTGTGCTAGGGGCTAGGGTTACATTCTTTTTTTAGGGGGGTGAGGCAATTGGGGTTAAGTGACTTGCCCAGCATCACATAGCTAGTAAGTGTCAAGTATCTGAGGCCAGATTTGAACTCAGGTCCTCCTGATTCCAGGGACGGTACTGTATGCACTGTACCACTTAGCAACCCAAGGGCTGGGGTTACAAAGACAAAAATGAAACTATACCTGCCCTCAGGGAACTTCTATTCTAATAATGTGTGTTGGGGATGGGGGAGAGACTAGTATGCTATACTAAGGCATTAGAATAGGGCTTTGATAGAGGTAATATTTTTTTTTTTCCAGTGAGGCAATCAGAGTTAAGTGACTTGCCCAGGGTCACATAGCTAGTAACTGCCAAGTGTCTGAGGTTGGATTTGAACTCAGGACCTCCTGACTCCAGGGCCCATGCTCTCTCCACTCTACCACCTAGCTGCCCCTGGAGGCAGCATCTTATTAGACCTGGATGCTTTCTCCAATTCCATCGCTATTCTACTTTAAAAACATTTTTTTTTTTAAATTTTTTGACCTGGAGCTGTAATTTAATCATTATATGGACCTAAAAATCAGGAAACTCCTTTTATCATTGTAGATCAGCACCTGCTTTACAACTTACAGTCTCAAAGAATTGTCTGGGTCGCTAAAAGGTACAGAGACTTGTTGGGAGGTCACATAATGTGAGTCAGATGTGGAATTGGGATCCAGGCCTTCCTGACTCCAAGGCTAGCTCTCTATCCACTACACTACACTGCCTTTGTCATCCTTTTCTAAACAGAAAATAAATAAGTAAATATACTTTTCTATTACTATTCAAAATAGTACTCCTCAGTACTTAGACAATGGTAGAGGCACAAAAAATTGGAAGGCCTAATTCTGTAGAGTTCCTGCCAGATCAGCTACAGGTCATCTTACGCGGGAAAGAGAAGGAATGGTTTCTCAATGCAGAGTGATTACTTGGTACTTTTGAGCCTGTGGAAAGCATCTACTTCTTTGCCATCTCCCTGCCCCTTCCCTTCTCCCAGGAGGCCCCAGGATATGCAGGAAAAGGTCATCTTTTTCATCTAAGTTGGTATAACTGGAATCAGTTCCTCTGGGCTGTAGAAAGGATCAGGCTCACGGAGTGACTTACAGAGATTCTTTATCTGCCTTGGGCTTGAAGGAGCAGTGTCTTCTGATGAATTTCACCAGCAGGAAGAACTGGTATCCCAGGAGACCCAAGAGTAGCATGGAGCCCATCGTAATAATGAATGGTACATACCAAGCTGATGAAGAATAAACATTTTCCCTCTGAATCAGGTATGTGATTCTGGGCTTGAAAAGAAGGGGGGGGGGAATAGTGGTGGTGAGATGGTCTTAGTATAAATTCGAACTTACATTTTCTACTCATGATGTTTCATTTCCATTTCTACTCATAAATTTTGTTTTAGAAATTGGATAGTGGTATACCCGGGACTCTTTCTGCTTCTACTCATTTTTATCTCATCCTGTGCTCTGGTGTAAAACATATATATTCCCAAGTATCCATTAGTTCAAAGTCCAGAAAAGTTAAGGAATATATGAGGGCCGGCAGTCCCAATTTTAAACTTTATCAAAATCTGGCTTCTCAAGGAGACACACACACATACACATATACATGCACACATATGTAACATACAATGTACACATGTGAACACATATGTGCAATATACATTTATGTGCAATGCAATCTGTGCGTGCCTATATGTATACCTACACATGTGTTGAGTATATATGTACATATGTGTGTACACACATGTGATTACATTGATTGAGGAAATTTCTGATGAGAAAATTCCCTCTACAATGCAAATTCATGACTTTTCTGCAATTTCACATCTTGGAGAATTGCCTGGTATGTGGAGAGCTTATGTGTATCAGAGCAGGATTTGAACATAGGCTTTCCTGAGCCCATAGCTGTCTATCTACTATATCACATATCTCCCCAAAGAGCCAAGTCCCCAAACCCCATTAACTCTTGCCAACACATGCATACTCCAGAGTCTGACCTGGTGACAAGTATCTCACTGAAAAGGCACAATGCCACTCTAGTCTCTTTCAATCCTCTCAAGAGTAGTTACTCTTAGGTTCCTTCAGCTGCATATTATCACTTCAAGGTTAGCGAGTGAGCTGGGTGATGGCCAAACAGTAACTAAATTTCCTTCTGCTTTGAATCCTGTGAGATTCTTCTGGAAGGAGGGTGGGGGTGGGAAGACAATGCCTGTCAACCTGGTGGGTGTCTAGTAGTGGCTGTAGTAGTGTCGATTGGACAATAAAAATCAGTCATCAGCCAAGCTGTGGCTTATCAATTGGTTGGTTAAGAAAGACCATGTTGTTGCTCAGAGCCGCATGACCAGAGAGTGAGAAGGTATATTTCTCTTTCTCTCTCTCTCTTTCTTTTTTTTTTTTTTTTTTTGGCTAGGCAATGGGGCTAAGTGACTTGCCCAGGAACACACAGCTAGTAAGTGTTATGTGTCTGAGGCTGGATTTGGACTCAGGTCTTCCTGAATCCAGGGTCCGTGCAGCCCCTAGAAGCTAAATTTCTTGATGACTTTTATGAATGCAGCAGCCAAGGCATCATTCATTTCCATCTGAGCATGAGACCTGTTCCCCTTCCCAGAGATTCGTGGGCTCTAGCACACACAGGATTCCATCCCCTAACATACCTCCTAGCCACTGAGTTTTTCTCAAGTCCATAGCATGTCCTTCAGGGTCAAAGGGATCTAACTGAATGCGGTTGGAGGCCAAGGCCCTTACCATGGAGGTGGTGGTGATGACTGTGGTTGGTTGAGGGACAACTTGGATATGCAGTGTCACTGTTCCTGTCTGAACAAAAGCCTCAGCTTTCTTCCGGCTGGTCAGCAAATTGTCATCTGTTATGTAAATGAGCAGCTTGTAGTCCCAGGCTTTATCAAAACCACTAGAATAATCAAACGGGGTTGCAAGCAGGAGGCTTGTGATATTTGATCCAGCATTGGGGGAGAAAGTGAAATGATTGTTCTTGTTCCCTAAATAGATTTTTAGACCAAGATCATGGAGGCGAAAGGTAGAGAGAGGGGAGAGAAAAAGGAGATAATCAGGCAAATAATAATATATTTTAAAAGACTTCAGAAGTCATCTAGTCCTATTCATAACTGAGCAAAAAAACATATAATCTATCAATCAGTCGATCAACAAGCACTTCTTAAGCGCCTACTATAGAAATATGAAGATAGAAACGAAATAGTCCCCACTCTCAAAAGGTTTACAGCTTATTAAGGTAGACAACATGTGTGTAGTTGTGTATATATACATACAGAATAAATATGAAATAGATACAAGGTAGTTCAGGGAGGGTAGACAGTAGTAATTGGAGGGATCAGGCAGGGCTTCACGTAGAAGGTACTGATTGAGCTGAATTTTGAACGAAGTAAGGGATTCTATGAGAAAGGTGACCAGAGAGAGCATTTCCGGCATAAGGGCTGGCCAGTGAAGAGGCATCAAGGAGGGGGAGCATAGAGTGTGATGTGTAAGGAACTACAGAAAGGTTAGTTTGACTAGGCCAGGGATATGGGAAGAGGAATAAGGCATAATGAGACCAGGAACATAAGTTGGGGCCAAACTGCGAAGGACTTTAAAAACCAGAGGAGTTTATATGTGATCCTAGAACCGATGGGTAGCCCCTGGTGTTTATTAAGTAAAGGAGTAATATGATCAGACCCGCACTCAAGGAAAATCACTTTGGCAACCAGGTAAAGGATGAATTGGACTGGGGAGAGACTCGTGGAAAGAAGACTAATTAGGAGGTTTTCGTAATATCCCTGACAAGTGATCATCCAGTTGCCTCCTTAAGACTGTTGGTGAAAACCTCACAAGGCAGTCCTTTCCACACTGGGACAGCTGTAATTACTAGCGAGCTTGCCTTTTCCTGCCACGCAGGCCTCCCCCTGTCGCACTCCACCCTTACAAGAAAAAAAAAAAAAAAACCCAATCCTACACTTTTGGTGAACAACATGTCTATTCCACTAGTGATATCTCTAGGCTCAACGTGTCTTGATTTAGTTTAGAAACAGTGACAAACTTCCAGGACATTCAATTTTGTTCAGGATTAAAATAAGGAGAAAAAAGGACATGTGCTATATAGCATCTCTGTGGTAATGCTGAGATATGAACTAAATTACCTCCATGTAGGCTCTTCAATGATTTTTATCTTTATCATGATAAGTATTTATTTAAGGAGGACGAAAATGCAGGTGTCAAGATTGTCACTCCTTTTTGAATGGGGGAACACACCATCTGCAGGACAAATCCCAAAGGGGTTGGGGTGTGTTTGCAGCAGCATAGTTTGGAAATGGCCAGGAAGTGATGTGAAGGCCTGATTCCAGGCAAGATAAATGGAAGGTTTACTAGTAGAGCCCAAAGTCCCAGGGCAGGGTCAAGGAGCCAGTGGGAAGGGAATGAAGAGACCCACTCTTGATACGTTTGGTAGCTCACCCCAGGGCATCCCCTTCTGACTCTGCAGATGAACAGAACTACAGTCCCTTTAAGGAAGTTTTGTCCACATTATGGTGACCCTAAGTACCCAATAGCTCACGGTTAAGGTCAAGAGATAAGGGCCATGCGGCTGTGTGGGATGCAATCCCTGCTTTCATGATACAGACAGCCATGTCTGAGTGGTGTAACATCCACAGAATCCACATCACTTGTTTCAGTCCTGTCTAATTCCTTTTTACCCCATTTGGGGTTTTCTTGGCAAAGATACTGTAGTGTTTTGCCATTTTCTTCTCCAGCTCATTTCACAAATGAGGAAACTGAGACAAACTGGGTTAAGTGACTTGCCCAGGAGCTATGAAGTGTCTCAGGCTGGATTTGAACTCACAAAGATAAGTCTTTCTGACTCCAGGCCCAACACTCTATCTACTGTGCCACCTAGCTGCCCCTCCTGGAGCAGAGCCCACAGGTAGTCAATGAGGAGAGGTTTCTGGTACTTCTAGAGAGAAAGGATTTATCAGACACTATTGGGACCCTTCCTCATGCTCTTAAGCATTCCTACAATCTTCTCATCTGCTTCCCATTCCTGCCCAGGCTTATGTCATCTTCTTCATTTCCATTGTACTGAATCCTAGACTCAGTCCCTAAGACTTTGGGCTGCAGAGTGCCAGGCCTAGAGTCAAGAAAACCTGAGTTCAAATCCAGTCTCAGAAACTTACTAGCTTTGTGATCCTGGGCAAGTCACTTCACCTGCTTGCCTCAGTTTCCTTATCTGTAAAATGGAGATAATAATAATACCCACCTCCCAAGGTTGTTGTAAGTGTTTAGTGTTTAGCCCAGAGCCTGGCACAAAGTAAGCACTATGTGTTAGTTATGATGATGATGATGCATAGGTGAGTTTTTTCATTCCATCTAGAACCAGGTCTCTATATCACTCCCCATACTTTCAAATCATGCTGATTTTTTTATCTCCTCTTTATATGCTGTGTCTCCCCATTAGAAAGTAAGTTCCTTGAGGGCAGGGGCTACCTTGCTTGTATCTGTATTCTCAGCACTCTGCAGGGTGCCTGACTTTTTCCAGTAACTTTTCATTCATTTCAGTCATTCTTGTCTGAGTGAGGCCTATGAGGTTTGGTCATATTGCCTGTATCCATTATATTCAACTCATTTCTCCAGTGACTCCAGACTTGTTACTGAGTGAAAACTAGTAAATGGAGCAGGGGATGATGCAATTTTCTCTCTCTTCACAGCAGGGCTCACCAAAAGGCCTTTGGGGTCTTGCTGAGTATGGATTTTTTTCATCTTATAAGACTTTCAATATGGAGGCAGTTTTTACCTCTGGGTTTTGTGACACACAGGCTTGGTGAGAGCCCCCACTGCTTTGGGATCCTGCCACTCCAGAGTTCAGCAGCGGGCGAAGAATAGATTTTCTTCTTTTACTTAGAACTGTTTTACTTGTTTGGGCTTAAATCTCTGGCCTTTAACATTTCATTAGAGAAGTTATTTTTGGTCTAATTTCCATTGAGAGGTATTTTTTCTTTTTCCTTTTTTTTCCATGGTACTGCATTTTTAAGGAAAGAAAATGAATGGGGCATAGGAGAATCCCAGAGGGCAAATTTCTCAAAACGCATTTAATCCATTATTACTCTGACAGATGACTCTGATTCCCTGAAACCTATTATAAGCCCTCACAAAAGGAGGTGCTCAGGGAGTTAGTATAAACTGAAAACACAATGAAACTAATAAGGATTCCTGAACCTCGGGATGGTCTGTGCATTGGGTCAAGGGATCACCATCAACGACACAGACATCCCACCTACTTACTCTCTACCTTAGGCAAACTGTGGCCTGGGGGTCACGAGAAGAGAAAGGGGAACAACAGGGAGCAGAAGCAGGAGCATGGCAGCACGGGCAAATTTAATTTTCCCTTCCCAAACCCTTCTGGCCTCACTTAGTATCTCATTTTCACAAGCCCATAGCCTAGATCAGACCATGAGCATAGTCACTCATTCATTCCATATTTAGTGAGTGCTTTTATGTCCAAAGACATTGTGCTGTGCACATCTTCCTGACCTTCCAAAATGACTTTCTAAGACCTCAAACTGTAATTGTTTTGGGGGGCATAGTTTTGGGGCCATAGGAAACCATATATTAGATATATACTAATATGTATATATGCATATCTATTAATAAAAATATAAGGAGTATATATACAGATATATGTTTGTTTATATACAACTTAGTATATATATTATATATATGAATTTGTATATATATTTTGTTATACAAGTGAAAGGGAAGGAAAGGGGAGTAAGCATTTATATGTCTCTTACTATGTGCTAGGCACTGTGCTAAGTGCTTTTTACAAAAAAAAAGCATTCCTACAATCTTCTCTTCTGCTTCCCATTCCTGCCCAGGCTGATGTCATCTTCTTCATTTCCATTGTATCCTAGACTCAGTCCCTAAGACTTTGGGCCACAGAGTGCCAGGCCTAGAGTCAAGAAAACCTGAGTTCAGATCCAGTCTCAGAAACTCACTAGCTTTGTGATCCTGGGCAAGACACTTCACTGGAAATCACTGGAAAAAATCAGGCGCCCTGCCGAGTGCTGAGAATACAGATACAAGCAAGGCAGCCCCTGCCCTCAAGGAACTTACTTTCTAATGGGGAGACACAGCATATAAAGAGGAGATAAAATAGTGGGAGGATATTTCAGCATGATTTGGAAGTATGGTGAGTGATGTGGAAACCTGGTTCTAGGTAGGATGAAAAAACTCACCTATTCATCATCATCATCATCATCATAACTAACACATAGTGCTTACTGTGTGCCAGGCTCTGGGCTAAACACTAAACACTTACAACAACCTTGGGAGGTGGGTATTATTATTATCTCCATTTTACAGATAAGGAAACTGAGGCAAGCAGGTGAAGTGACTTGCCCAGGATCACAAAGCTAGTAAGTTTCTGAGACTAGATTTCAACTCTGATTTTCTTGACTCTAGGCCTGGCACTCTGCAGCCCAAAGTCTTAGGGACTGAGTCTAGGATTCAGTACAATGGAAATGAAGAAGATGACATAAACCTGGGCAGGAATGGGAAGCAGATGAGAAGACTGTAGGAATGCTTAAGAGCATGAGGAAGGGTCCCAATAGTGTGAGTATTCATTTGATAATCACAATAATCCTGCAAGGTAGATGCTATTATTACCTCCATTTTATAGTTTAAGAAACTGAGCCAAACTGAGGTTAAGTGACTTGCCCAGGGCCTCACAGCTAGTAAATGTTTGAGGTCAGATTTGAATTCAGGTCTTCCTGATTGCCGCCTCCTCCTCCTCCTCCTCCTCCTCCTCCTCCTCCTCCTCCTCCTC